ACTAAGGCCATCTGTTTATGCATGCTCATCCTCCCACGACGTACTTTTTAACCTTTAAGATGTAAAGGAACCCAGGTGCACTTGTGGTCAGTCCTTTAGGGAGGCTGCTCCCTGGTCGAATGCCAACTGCTTTGTGGTGGTGACAGGAGCCAGTCGCGGCTTTGGTAGGGCGTTCTGCATTCAGCTATTGAAAGAGGTGGCTGAGCCGCGCTCCTGCCACTCTCCGCCTGCCGCTTCCCTCACATTTTTTCTCCTCGGCCGTGATGTTAATGCCCTCTGTGAAACAGAAAGCGAGGTGGATACTTTATTGTACCCTTCTGTAATCCTCATAGAATACTTGTGGTCACTTACATAGTACCCTCTTTTGTTGCACAGATTATTGCATCGATACCGGAAAACGGTACTACGAGTGTTGCTGTGTACTTTGATGGTGGTGAGCATCTTGATATGAATATCGCAGATGCTGTCACCCTCTCAAACACCCTACAGCCAATCTATGACGCAATGGCTAAGTGCTCCGGTGGCAATCAGCCTCAGTGGAACCTCTTAGTCAACAATGCTGGCACTCTGGGCAACATAAAGAACCGTGCGGATGAGCACCTTTCCACGGTTGACTTGGAGTCGTACTTTCGGGTCAACCTCTTTTCCCAGATCATTCTTACCAATGTCTTCCTCCATCATGTAGCTCCGATGTCCGAAATGGCTTCCCATCCACCCACCACCATTCTCACCATTTCTAGTCTCGCCGCAATCAAACCACTTTCACATATGCTTACCTACTGTTGTGGCAAAGCCGCACGCGATATGCATCTCAAGTGCTTGGCCATTGATCGGCCCTCTATCTCTGCTTTTATCTATTCACCGGGTCCCCTGTTGACCGCAATGTATGACCAATTGGAGAGGGACCAAGGGGATCCGAAAGCGCGCTCCTGGTTCAAGGAACGACGCGAGCAGGGTCTCGTGATACAGCCCATGGAATCTGCACGAATGTGTGTGCGTTGGTTGCGCCGGCAAAGGTTTTCTTTGCAAACCGGTGAAATCCAATTTCCAGCGCGAGTTTGTCTAGTACATCAGGCAGACTACAGGGAACTGTGGAAAGGGCAGCATTTGGACTATTTCGAAGCTCGAGACCTGGAGGAGGCAGAGTTTGACAGAATTGGACTCTAAGCTTTCATGCGTAATCACTTGCGGGGTGAAATGAAGCTCTTTTACATATTAGTCAGGGACTATCGTCTAATACAATCTCACATTTTCTTCCTTAACATTTCCTTTTTGTCACAATTTCGTCTACATTGTTTTTCAACTGATGCAAAGTCGTAAGTCGATGCTATTTTGAAAGCCATCTGATTGAACAATAGTGCATTCATTTCTTTCTGAATGCCAGGACTATCTCCTGAAATCTAAGCACAGTGGGGTGCACTGCCAAGGAAATAAGTGATTTTCCAAGGGGACTTTAATTTATTGGTTCGCGCTACTTGGTGTTCCGCTCGTTCCCGTTATCCAAGTTTCAAGGTGCATTAAGTCATGCTGAGTTCGTTGTTTGGAGTTTTTACTCATGAGGTTGTTACCCTAAGGGGTGCATATATTGTGTAAAACGGGTCGTTTTCAAGCAAACTCGTGACTTATGGCTACATGGGCATTCCCCATTATTTGTACTCTTGCATTCGTGCCAGCTGGCGACGCAACTAGATTCTCGC